ATTGTCAATTCAAAGTTTCTATTTTCAAGTGTTCCGGTGTTACCAACTGCTACATACCTATTTCCCTACATTGCCAAAATTTACTTTATTTTTGTTAAAAAAAAGTATAAAAACGCGAATTACAAAAAATAGCATAAAAAACACGTTTCATAAGACTTAAAGCACTCATTCATTAAAAAACTCGTGGCTTCGCCACTCGTTTTTCAACTTGAATTCGTGCATTTCAAGCGTGTCTTACGAAACTTGTTTTTTAATATACTATTATAGAATACAGCTAAAATATCTTATATCAAAACCTGTATCATGGTTGTTGAATAAAATTTGTTTTTATAGACAAAAAGAAATTTTAATAATACCCTATTTTCGACAGTCTCAGGTGTATGTAACCCCTTAACGTAATAGAAGTGTATGCGAGCATGTTGGATGAGGCTGGTAAAACAACCTTAATTCAATACGTTTTAAAACTAGATTAAGTCCTAAATTAAATCCTAATGTAGAATCACTGATAAGAGATATAAAAACACATCTCTTATGAATCTGAATCATGAATATAGTAAACTGATCGAAGAACATGGTTAATTTGATGATTTCGCAAGTTGAACGAGATAGAGAAACAGTTAAGATACTGAGAGCAACGAACTAGAAGAAATTCAGACCTCAGGATAGTAATTAAGGGAACTAATTCACTAAAAGATGCGATAACTGGCGCTAAAGATGAAGAGAAATCAAGGCCTAATAAAGCAAATTCATTTCACATAAGGAAAAATTTCAACAACAATCCAAATAGACGCGGTAACAATAGCTATTACAATAACTCTTATAGATGTAGAGGTCAACATCAAAACAACGAAAATAGACGTCAATATCATCAACAAAGTAAACCAGTAAATAATCAACATTCAGAAAACAAAGGTTAACGAAACAATTACACAAATACTGGACGATTTAATGGCCAAAGAAATAATCAGCGAATTAATTTTGCAAATGCTTCGGATAATCAAAATCAAAGAAATACATCTATGCCACAAAACGTTCAACAGACTCAACCGGATACAACAAATTTTTTAAGTTTTGGAACAAAGTAATATTCACGAATGAGAGTAAGTTTAACATTTCTGGATCCGAAGGGTGACGAATGATATGGCGGCAAAATAATAAAGAACTGGAAGAAAAAACTTGAGACCTACATTTAAAACCCATTTGAGACCAGCGGTGCGTTACTTTATGTACGTGTATAAAAGCCTGATGTTAAAAATATTTTAAAATATCTATTAAAAATAGTAAAGTTTGGCAATATTTCAACAGTAATGAAACAAAAGTTTATTGTAAATTGTGCAAGCAAGCAATAACAAGAGGAGGGAAAGAAAAAGCAGATTCCACTAATCCGTTACTACTTCATTTAAAACGACACCGTGAAGAAGAATATAAGAAATGCCAAGAAAACAAAACTGAAGATAAGAAACTTGATAAAACGTTAACGGAAGAGATAAAACTAAAAACAAATATGCAACAACCAACTTTACAACAATACCAAACCCTCTAAAATCTAAACTATTAAAGTTAGACATATAACATAGTTATAATTAATTAAAGGGAACTTGATGAGCAATTCAACTAGCACACAATATATAAGTGTTCCATTTAAAAAACTTAAGAAAAAGTCATTTGAAAAATATCAAAAGTAACTAAGCTTTATAAACACCCTGTATAGTGTATCTAATATCTATGAATACTATCATCTACCTACTGACTTTGACTATTGTCTGACATAGTTTCAACGCAAAATCGGAAAAAATGTCGTTTTTACATCGTTTTTAAAAAAATCCAGTAATGGGCACATTTTGGAAGAACAATTGAATATCTCAGGAACTATGAACGCTGTGAATTAGTAACAGATACGTTTGTATAAACAAATTTAGTTGTATTCATAATATGATAAAATAAATGTTACGCATAAATGGAACACCCTGTATAAGTCAAAATCTTATAAAAAACAATCTCTAACAAACATCTTTTGTATAAAATATTTTACTGTTTTTTAAACGGTTTAGTAACTCTCGACCGCAGGGATACTAATAACTCACCCTGTATATTTATCAGAAAATAGTACCACACTTTGTTATAAAACCATTCGAAGAAATTACTAGGCAGATAAGTTCTACAAATTCATTAATTTCAGATGTTATTCCATCAGTAGTTATAATACAAAAATACTTTTCAATAAATACATTTTCTGGTGCAAAACAGGCACATTAGTGCAAAACTTAACAACCGATTTCCAATTTCGAGATATACAGGGTGTAACAAGCTGTAACTCTGTCATTTACATACATTTACATTTTCATGATCCAGGTATTAAATGAAATGGTTTGATGAATGATTCATGCTACAAATAAATGTTTTCCAACGCCTTCTTCAGTTTCAAGCAATTATCAACTTTTGTTTTCCAAATTGCTCCGTATATTTTTCTCTACGTCATTGGATAGAGATTCTTTTTCTGAATCCATTGATGCACAGTACATCTACTGTACATTAGGAGAGAAAATACACCCTGTATATAGAGGTTGTCGCACAAGAACGCTCGACAAGAACGATTGTCAACTTTTGATTTTCAAAATGCTCGGTATATACTTTTTTGCGTCATTGGATAAAGATTTCTTTTTTGAACCCATTACATCAATATTAATCGTAATTTTAGCAGAGGAACATTCTCTTAAACTCACTTGTGTTATAATGTAGGGTGCCATGGAAAAAAAATAAAAAACAATTTATAACTGTCAGTTATAAGTGTGTTATATTATAACTGTCACTGACATGGCACACTACGTTAGAACACAAGTGAGTTTAAGATCAGTAACATGTTATAACACACTTATAACTGACAGTTATAAATTGTTTTTTTTTTTTCCATGGCACACTACATTATAACACAAGTGAGTTTAAGAGAATTTTCGAAAACTGTTTTAATTTTCTTCTCTGCTAAAATTACGATTAATATTAATGTAATGAGTTCTCTCCAAAAACGTGAAGAAAAGCATAAAGACCAATTTGAAAATCAAAAGTTGATAATTTGCTTGAAACGGAAGAAGACGTTGGAAAACATTTATTTGTAGCATGAATCATAGTATTCATTAAACCATTTCATTTGATATCTAGCTCATGAAAATCTGAATGTAAATGACAGAGTTACAGCTTGGGGCGTTTTTTTATGTGACACTCTGTATATGAAAAAAAAATTTGTGAATGCAACATTACTTGACTACCTAAAAACCAATGAGAACACTTAAAAACTACAGCAAAACACACGATTTTAAAAGAAATGAAGGTATTAAGTACTGAATTTTTAAACAACAATAGTTGATAGCCAAAAAAAAAAAGAAGAAACTGTCTACAAGTGAATCCAAATCTTTATGGCAATGCTATAATGATATTATTGGTACTACTTGTTCATCAACAAACCAAGCCAACAAAGAAAAACGGCCATAAAAAGTGACGGTAACTTTCTGCAACAAATTAATACATTTTTGAATTTACCTATAATAGACAGAAATTCTGATCCAATTGTTTGGTCGAGAGACCAAGGAAGACTGTATCCCGAATTAAGCAAAATACCTCGAAATTATTTGTCAAGCCCTACAAATAGCGTTTATAGCGAACGCACACTTTCTGAAATGGGAATAATTTATGAAGATCGCCTTTCTAGATTAACTCCTGTTGAAGCAGAAAAAATACTTTGCATACACCACAATTTACAAAAGTGTAATTTTGGGTATTAAACAGTGATAGTATTTATTTTCTGCTCTATTTTTCAATGTAAATTTACATTTATCTACGTTTATAATCATTTTTTTTTAAATAAATTTTTTTTTTAATAAACACAGCCATTTCAATCAAAATAAATTCAATTCGACTATTTCAGAAACGCAGACTGATGGGAAAAGAGGATTTCTTTTTGAAATAGCTTTTTCTACATAAAGTTTTCGTTTGAAATGCTAGTTTTGAATCATCTTTATATAATACATAAATTTTATTTACAATGAAATAGTTGTGTTTTGATCTGGCCAGTTTTGTCAGCTGGTTTGAATATGTATGGTGAGCAAATACTTTTTGAAGTCACTGTAGGTGCAAACATGCTCAAACAGTTAAAATAAACTTACAATTGATGAATTATGATCATCCAACATCTTATTTTTGAACGTTTTAAACCTTGAATTGGGTAAAACACTAATTCCAGATAACATAATATTATTTGGGGCGTTACTTTCTTCCGGGGTAAACAACATTTTATTAATAAGATTATTCGTAGAAGGATTTGGACTAGTTAAAATTTGAGGAGGCGTCATAATGTACTGTACACTCTCCTGATTTGGTGTATTGGCAATAATCATGCTTTCAATATTATTTAAATTATTTCCGTGGCACTTTGATAAATTATCTAATTCCCCCAGTTGGAAAACAACGTTCGGATCCGGTTTCTCACCAATTTTACAAAGACCTTCAAACCCAGACCATAAAAATGGATTTATTTTCAAGGCCCGCTTTAAAGCTTCCACTGCTTTTTGTTTTCGTTCAGTCTTAATCGCTATTTTAGCTAAAAGGAGGAATACAAAAGCTGCTTGATCACCATACTCCATAATCAGATCGTCGTAATTGTTAGTTGGGCAAGAAATGTGTTCTAAAAGTACTGTTTCAGCGTCAAAATATCTAAAAAAACATTAATGATTTGTAAAAACAACCTTATTATTAAAACAAATACTTACTTTTGTAATTCGTAGGCACATTTAGCAAATAAATATTTACATTGGGGATTATACCCATGTTTGTCCTTTAAGATATTGTAAGCATGATCGATTTGACTGTTTCTAAAATACGCCGTGGCTAATAAAAACAAAGTTTCATCTGATTTAACTACAAAGGAAATAAATAAAATTAGTTTGACACAGATTTTTTTTTAAACTAATTAATTTACCTTCTGCGTAGAGTCTCTCTGAAAGAAAAATCGCGTCCGAATAATCATAGTGGTTCAAACAGTGCCATATCGCCGCCTAAAACCAAATTTGCTCGTTTAAATCATAAAAAACCCATCTCAACGCCATTTTAAGGTTATCTATTTCAACTTACCTGCACTGGTTCCTGTATAATCATTTTGTAGACTTAAACTTACGATTGCGTATAAGCTTGGAACATTACTTCACCACTTTAACTGGTTTTTAAAGGAATATCGAGTCCGAAACGTTTTATATTGACAATATTTGATATCACTTGACAAGTGCTTCGAAGCGAATAACCATTTTCTTTCAATACTTTGTTTTTGCCGATAATCTTAAAGTCGACGTTTTTAACCCGAAAATATTTACGATTCCAACATGTTAAAAAAAGATAGAAATACATAAAAGCTTAAGATTAAATAAAGATGGAAAATGTGAAGGTGAACTTATTGATTATTAGAGATGTCAATGATTTGGGGTTTTCAGAGGCACCAACATAATGAATCAATAAAGATACGAATGCGTTTGAATTTAATGATTTTTAAATTGTTTTAAAATAATTTCTTATTTATTAATTTACAAAAATGGGATTAAATGTTAAATATTAAATTAATTAATTTTATTTTTTTAAACATACAATAAATTTCTTTCGGTGATTTAAATTAAGTTTATCATGAAGTGAGTTGCGTCAAATCTGTCAAAATTATTTCAGTTGGTGCTTGACATATTGCAAGATTTTGGTCAATTCGGTGCATGTGGATTAAATATTAAATGGAATTAAGCTTTAAATTAATTTATTAATTTTTTTTTCGCAATTAATTTAATGTAAAAATGCCACCGAAACCAAAACCGGCAGCTCCAAGTAAAAAAACTGAGCAAAAAAAGAAAGAGAAAGTTATTGAGGTTAGAAATTCCCATTCTTAACCCCTTATTTTAATTAATTTATTTGAAACAAAGACTATTAAATTTCAACTTCATATTTATCATCATTTTAGGATAAAACGTTCGGTTTGAAGAATAAGAAAGGGGCCAAACAACAAAAATTTATTCAACAAGTTGAGAAGCAAGTAAAAACAGGGGGTCATCACCCAGTAAAAGAAGATGCCAAGAAATTAGAGAAAGAGAAAAAATTAAAAGATCAAAAAGAATTAGCCGCCCTCTTTAAGCCGGTTCAAACTCAAAAAATTGAAAAAGGTGCTGATCCCAAATCAATCGTTTGCGCCTTTTTCAAACAAGGACAATGTGGCAAAGGAGACAAATGCAAATTCTCCCATGATTTATCAATAGAAAGGAAAGCAGAGAAACGTTCTTTATACGTTGATATGCGAGACAAAGATGATGATGATACCATGGAAAATTGGGATGAAGACAAACTTAAAGAGGTTATTGAGAAAAAGCATGGAAAAGATAAAAAAATGCCAACAACTGATATTGTAAGTTTAATAATATTTATTAACAATCATTTTTTTTAAATATACATTAAAATTGGTCATCATTGACCAACCATTAGTTTATCTAGGTATATTAAATTCTTAAAAACTAAACACTAAAGTGACTAATCTTCTGGTCGCCCATTGGTTATCAGAAGACACTATTAATTTTCACTATTTCACTGTTACTTATTACTAATGAGTCATTAGGGAAGATCAAATGGCTTAGTCCTTTTTAATCTTCATTGGATGTTTTCATTTTCAAAGAGAAGAGACACACTCAGATTAATGTGGTTGTCAACTGTAGATGTATGTTTTTGTGCAAACTTTATTTTGGAATCTTTGTATGGTTTTGATATGGCATTTTTTGGCGAATCCCCATAGTTGTATCCCATACAGCCATATGGGTTTGAGGATATACTTGCATATTATTTTTTTATTGTCTATTGATAACTTTGATTATCTTCTAATTAACTAGCTATATTACCTGTTTCTTATTCGCAGTTCTTCCAGTTTTTCCTTTATATGTACACCCCAGGTGAGTTTTTTATCTAGGTGTATACCGAGATATTTTGTTGAGTCTGCATATGGAATGATGTTATTAGTAATAGTGGTAAATCAACTAATTGTTTGTTTATAAAGTTCATATAAACGGACTTGTCTTCATTAATTTTTTTGTTTTCACACTTACTCTGCTTTTTTATTTTCAAAGAGAAGAGACACGCTTGGATTGACATGGTTGTCAACTCTAGATTTATGTTTTTGTCCAAACCGCTTTATTTTGCTATATACATCCGCGATCTCAAGATCCTTAAGGATATCTTTATTCCTAACATACCATAGCGCTATGGCACTATGTTTCTCAAGATTTTATTTTGAAATCTTTGTATGGTTTCAATATGGCATTTTTACAATCTTTTTGCAACTTTGATTGTCTTCCAATTAACCAGCTATATTGCCTGTTTCTTATTCGCAGTTTTTCCAGTTTTTTCTTTATATGTAACCCCCAGGTGAGTTTTTTATCTGCGTGTATACCAAGATATTTTATTGAGTCTGCATATGGAATGATATTATTAATTGTGATTAGTGGTGAATCAACTAATTTTTTGTTTATAAAGTTAACTTGAACCAACTTGTCTTCGTTAATTTTAATTTTCCGTTTTCTCGTCCATGTGGACAACATATATATACACCATTATAAAGGTAAATATAGAGTATTAAATATCTTTGAAAAGCTTGAAAAAATTCTAGTTAAATAAAATATAGGTGGTTAGATTTAAAAAAAACCTAAGTTCTGTTTATAATTCAAAAACCGTGATGACTAGAAAAATTCTACAAATCTATTAGTACCCGTTTTTACTTTTTTATTAAGTTTCCGGATAGCCGAGATACAGGGGGTGTCTGAAAATCGTAAATTTTGAAACACTCCCTGTATATCAAAAACAAAGAGGGCTATGAAAATTTAGTTTGCTCCATAGTAAGTTTTACAAAAAAGTAGTTCAGGTTCGCGAAAACCGCAACTTTCTATCTTTAGTAATAACTCAGATACCCTGCAAACCCATCGAAATTTGGACACCTGTACACTACGGAGCACCAGCTTTTATCTACACTCAGCGGCATAAAAAACGCATCGCCTAAAATGAGGACCAGTTTCAAACTGCAATAACTTCTGAACGTATTGCTCGATTTGAATAAGGCTTTTTTATTTGAAAGGTCTACCCTTTGCTAATATTTATGTAGGTGCCTTCCCCAGTTTGACGCTCTTCAATTTCAGTAATGCTGAATAATGCTTATGCGTGTTTTCTTCATACTGTTTGAAGCTTGCTGTAGGGTGCACCGACAAAAGAAAATAATTTTAACCATAAGGAGCTTGTAGTTTAGTCTGTTCTGATCACTTCTGTTTTTTGTTTAAGTTTCTATTCTTGTTAACACCACAGTTACAAGCTCTAAAAGATAACGCAGCTTGTTCGGCATCGCCATCAGATCCCTCCCCTCCCCTCGCTTGAATGGTATCCCTCATTCTTCGAGGCATACTTCGAATCAGGTTTTGAATTTCATTGTGGGGAATCTGGGTCCACTCTTCTTTTAGCACTATTTTAGAATATTGGCAAAGGGTAGACCTTCCAAATAAAAAAAAACCTTATTCAAATCGAGGAATACGTTCAAAAGTTATTACAGTTTGAAACCGGTCATGATTTTAGGTGATGCGTTTTTTGTGCCGCTGAGTGTATTTTAAATCAGTAAATTCGTTTTCCTATTTGACTCGAAATAATGGGTCTGTAATATAAGATTCTAGGACATCCACATACTGTTTTGGCAATAGTTTACTAATTTTATATATTAGGCCTTTATGCCATACTTTATCTAATGCTTGGGCTATATCAACAAATATAGCAGAGCAAATTTTTTTTCCTTCGAAAGTTTTTTTCTATCAGATCAGATATTCTGTGTACTTGATTAATTGTACTATGATTTCTCTAAATCTGAATTGATATTCAGGAATAAGTTGCTTTGTTCTATTAATGGTTTAAGCCTTTTAAGGAACAGTTTTTCAAAGAGTTTTGAGATTACTGGAAGCAACGAGATTGGTCTGTATGAAGCTAGATCATATGGTGATTTTTTTTGGCTTACAATTAGATATTATAATTACCTCTGCAATCTTCCACATATTAGGTACCTGTGTAGTAGCATATTAGGTAAACGAAATGTTACATTTATTAAATACGTTAGTTTGCTTTTCTAGGGAGGTTTTTTAAGATTTCTCCTGCAATGAAGTCAAAACCTGGTGTTTTCTTTTCTTTGCATTTATATTTTTACTAATTTCTTTAGCAACTTCATTTGGCGTTACATATTTTATACGTTCATTAGTATTAACATATCTCTTCACAATCGGAGCTTATATCATTTGGCTGGAAAGTTTTTTTTATACGGTTTGGAAATAATAGTTCTGCACTTTTGTTTATTAGTTCTTACCCACGTTCCTATCAGTTCAGAGAGGTGGATTTTGAGTAACAGGACGTTTGAGCTTTCTTAGTTTTTGAGAAATAAATTCTTGAAATGATCGAAAATTTTTTCGAATTTTGCAATTTTCGCCGATTAAGTTTTAACAATTTGTATAAAATCCATTTCTTGGAATATGAGTATGAAAACTTGCCAAAGTGTTAATAAAAGTGTCCTCTTTCCAATGAACCAACCCGTTTTGATAAATAATTTTTAGTTTTTGAGAAAACAATATTTGAAGCTTTGATAAAATTTTCGATGTTGCAATTTTCATCGATAACTTTCAAAATTCGCTATAAAATTAATTTCTCGACGGATCCTTGTGGAAATATCACCAATTATTAATTAAAGTATCCTTTTCTTAATGCAAAAATCCGTTTTTAAAAATCACTTTTAGTTCTCGAGAAATAAATCTTTGAAATAATCGACAATTTTTCGAATTTTGCAAATTCCGTCGATTAAGTTTTAAAAATTCGTATAAAATCCATTTCTTGGAATATGAGTATGAAAATTTCTCAAAGTGTTAATAAAAGTGTCCTCTTTCCAATGAACCAACCCGTTTTGAAAAATAACTTTTAGTTTTTGAGAAAACAATATTTGAAGTTTTGATAAAATTTTCGATGTTGCAATTTTCATCGATAACTTTCAAAATTCGCTATAAAATTAATTTCTCGACGGATCCTTGTGGAAATATCACCAATTATTAATTAAAGTATCCTTTTCTTAATGCAAAAATCCGTTTTTAAAAATCACTTTTAGTTCTCGAGAAATAAATCTTTGAAATAATCGACAATTTTTCGAATTTTGCAAATTCCGTCGATTAAGTTTTAAAAATTCGTATAAAATCCATTTCTTGGAATATGAGTATGAAAATTTCTCAAAGTGTTAATAAAAGTGTCTTCTTTCCAATGAACCAACACGTTTTGAAAAATAACTTTTAGTTTTTGAGAAAACAATATTTGAAGTTTTGATAAAATTTTCGATGTTGCAATTTTCATCGATAATTTTCAAAATTCGCTATAAAATTAATTTCTTGAAGGATCCTTGTGGAAATATCACCAATTATTAATTAAAGTATCCTCTTTTTAATGCAAAAAGCCGTTTTGAAAAATCACTTTTAGTTCTTGAGAAATAAATTTTTGAAATGATCGACAATTTTTTCGAATTTTGCAATTTTCGCCGATTAAGTTTTAAAAATTCGTATAAAATCCATTTCTTGGAATATGAGTATGAAAATTTCCCAAAGTGTTAATAAAAGTGTCCTCTTTCCAATGAACCAACACGTTTTGAAAAATAACTTTTAGTTTTTGAGAAAACAATATTTGAAGTTTTGATCAAATTTTCGATGTTGCAATTTTCATCAATAACTTTCAAAATTCGCTATAAAATTAATTTGTTGAAGGATCCTTGTGAAAATATCACCAATTATTAATTAAAGTATCCACTTTTCACTGCAAAAATCCGTTTTTAAAAATCACTTTTAGTTTTTGAGAAATAAATTTTTCATCACTATTAAATACGTTAGTTTTAAGGTTGCTTTTCTAGGGAGGTTTTTTAAGATTTCTCCTGTAATCAAGTCAAAACCTGGTGTTTTCTTTGCACTTATATTACTCCTAATTTTTTCAGCAACTTCATTTGGCGTTACATGTTTTATACGTTCATTAGTATTAACATATTCTTTGATCTCTTCACAATCGGAACTTATATCATTTGGCTGGAAAGTTCTTACTCACGTTCCATTATGAGTTCTGAGAGGTCGATTTTGCGTAATAGGACGTTTCAGCTTTCTTGTTGCTCTCCATAATGAATAATCACTTCCCTTATCTTCTTTATTTCTCGTTTTAATTGTGTCAGATTATTGAATCTACTTTTATCGAATGTAGCTTTTCTTTTTTCTGCAACTAGTTTTCTAATTTCTTGATGGTAATTATTGTCAGCAGTTTTACGTTTCAATTCTTTTGTGTTATCCCATGCTGCACGCTCAATATCTCGTACAAAGTTTTCCACTTCATCTTCCAGTTGTTCTTTAGTGTTCAGTAAAACTCTCAACCGCATTTTTCCTTCAAGTTTCAATCTAAAGCTTTCCCAATCTATTGTACCATTCGTCAGGGTTGGTTTTCTTTCCTTTTCAATAATCTTATCTGAAGCTAGGTCATAGTTATCATGCACTTCCAGAAAATTGGATGAAAATTTCTTTGATATAAACAAGTCCAATAAATCAGGTCTCTTATCCGCATCATTAGGCCAGTAGGTTGGGTTACCTGATGAATAATAATTGGCTCCAACCTCTAGTTCTTTCCCTTTTGTAGTTGTGACTTCTTATCCCCATTCTGTGTTTTTTGCATTAAAATCGCCACCCAAGAGAAATTTGTTTGTATCCAAGTAACTTTTATAATCTTCTTTCTTGTTGTTGTACTGTATTTCCTCCTTTTGCAAGGGGACTTTTTCGTGGTGTTCGATATTTTCTCTTATAATTATTGCGCTTCCATCTCTTGCTTGATCATTGGGTATAGTTAAGAACAACTACTATATACAGTGTGTTAATGAATTATCGTATCCGACGTCATCATTGCAAATATGCAACCAATATCACAGTATACGCGATTTCCGTATTGCAATACCAATACTGTGATATTGGTTGCATACTTGCAATGATGACGTCGGATACGATAATTCATAGTATTGGTATTGCAATACGGAAATCGCGTATACTGTGATATTGGTTGCATACTTGCAATGATGTCGTTAGTTTATTTCTATTTGCACTCACTTAACGTCCTTTTGTCAACAAGTCTTCTTTTAACATAAATATATACCCAATAATTTAAATTAAATTTCTTTATTTCTTTTTATTTAGATTTGCAAACATTTCTTAGAAGCGGTTGAAAAATCGAAATACGGTTGGTTTTGGCAATGCCCCGCCGGGGAAAATTGTATCTACAGACACGCTCTTCCTCCCGGTTTCGTTCTTAAAAAAGACAAGAAAAAAGAAGATAAAAAGAACGATATCTCCCTCGAAGATCTCATCGAAAAAGAACGAGCCGCTTTAGGTCCGAATCAAACTCGAGTAACCCTCGATAGCTTCTTAGCGTGGAAAAAACGAAAAATACAAGAACGTGCGGACACTTTGCTCAAAGAGGAAGAGAAGAAACGGAACGATTTCAAAGCAGGAAGACAAGTGGGACTCTCCGGGCGAGAAATGTTCAGTTTCAATCCGGAATTAGCCGCCGAATCCGAAATGGACGAAGGAGACGAAGCCTTCGAGATGTACACCCGAGAAGAAGACGACGATGTAAATGAATACAAAGAGTTGGATTTGAGTGCTTTAGCGTTGGAAGCTCAAGAAGTCGATGGAAGTGGTACTTTAGCCACGGAAGATCGATTGAAAAAAGACGAAGCCGCCGCTGTTCCTATAAACGAAAACCTCTTTGTTGATGAAGATTTAGACGCGTTAGATGAAGAATTGAACGATTTAGAGCTGGGTGAATGAATTAATTGGGTTTTGATAAAAAAAAGAGATTTAAGGAGACCCAATCGGATTTTTAATAATTATTTTTACTCCATAATTTTAATTTTGTAAATACAAGAAGAAAAAAATTGTCATCATATTAATTAATTAATTAATAATAATAAAGTGGATTAATTAATTACAGAAGAAATGTGATTTTCAAATCAATTGGGAAAATAATATTAACATTTTTTGATATTTTCTAAATAATGATGAGCTTGTTTTTAGGAATTAAGAAAATGTTTTGTTTTTAATAAACTGAAATTCCTAATCATTTCTTTATGTGTAACCAGGATATTTGTTTTGAAGTTTATTGAATGTTGGAGCAAGATGGAGTAGATGTTTATACTTCAATAGGGAAATATCAAATGAAAATTGATAAAAAATATGAATGTACAAAGGTGTAAAAGCGAGAGAGAACAACTTGAAGATGCTCAAAACAATTTAAAGCTACATCTCTTAAGATGGCTAAACCTGAATGTTTCTAATTTTAGGTCTAGTGTTAGTTCCACATTTAGTTCAATAAAAATATAGAACATTCTAGAGCTGAATAACAATTAAAACGAGAACTAACGCTAGAACTATGCAGTTTACTTTAGAAGCAAGTATAAATGATAAAACTTCTAAAAACACACTACAATCACAAAAAATACAACAACAGTTAACTGAGTATGACATGTGGTGTAACGTATTACTCAGATATGACATCATCTTCTGGATTACAAAAGAAAAAACGACCCTTTTAGATTCTATAGTCCTTGATTACATAAATAATAGAAATCTTTTTACTTTGTCATCTAAAATTGCTGCTCTTGCATCAGATCTTTGTAATGATTGAATAATTTCCCATTAATTCGTTTCTGTATGGTATAATTTAGCAGAATTCATCTGTATGCTTCCATACTCCCATCTAAAATTAAATATTATTAAATAAATTTGTGTTTGACAGGGAAAATGTCTCGGATGTAAGATGTGTTGCCTATACACAAGTGAATATTTTGAGATTTAATTCTCAATACTTTGTTAAATTAAATCTTAATAACGTACAAAATTAATAAACTCAATAATTAAATAGGCAAGTAATAATAACATTATGATTTTAAATATAACTTAATTTTAAAACTTAGCTCGTTTTTTTTGTAGGTTAACTTCTTGGAGTTTCCTGGATCTTGCGTATTTCGAGATGGTTTGACCTCCACTTCATCTAACTCATTTAATTCCATTCTAAAATAAGCTCTCAAAGTGGTTTTTGCGAATTGGAAATACTCAGTCAAAAATTCTTTTGATCATCATCAAATTTTGAATTGACTTAGTCTCAAGTTGTCAAAAAATGTATATGGTGGAGCAAAATGGAAATGTAACAAGAAAATCAAAAGTTTTAGAACGTGATAAATTATGATTTTATGAATTTAAACTATAATTATTATTATTGTTTTAGGAAAAATGTGGATTTATTAAAAAAACAATGCGATTAAGTTTTGAAGTTTTTAAAATTAATATCCAAAAATTATTTAAAATTTTAAAAAGTTTGATTGCAAAAAGAATTTTTTTATGATTATAAGTGAATCAATCATTTTAAAATGGTTTTAATAAGAGTTGTTAACTAAAAGTGATGTTCTTCATCTGTAGGAAATTTGAATCTATGGAAAAACTCAGCCTCAGCACAACAAATATGAAACCATTGTGTTTTTTTTGTTAATGTCTCAACTCTTTTTATTAATGTGTTGATAACCCATAAAGCTGATAAGATATGTCAATTTATTTGGATCCAAGATACGAAATGAACTTTTTTGGTGCTGATTTAACTAACGAAGCAATTCTAAAAAAAGTATACCTTAATTATTGATGAAAAACATCAAAGTGGATTTTATGCGAATTTTTAAAACTTAATCGGTAAAAATTGCAAAATTTGAAAAAATTGTCGATTATTTCAAAAATTTTTTCTCAAGAACTAAAAGTGATTTTTCAAAACGGCTTATTGCATTAAAAAGAGCATACTTTAATTAATAATTGGTGATATTTCCACAAAAATCGTACGAATTTTTAAAACTTAATTGGCGAAAATTGCAAAATTCGAAAAAATTATCGATCATTTCAAAAATTGATTTCTCAAAAACTAACAGCGATTTTTCAAAACGGCTTGTTGCATTAAAAAGAGGATACTTTAATTAATAATTAGTGATATTTCCAAAAGGATCCTTCAAGGAATTAATTTTATAGCGAATTTTGCAAGTTATCGATGAAAATTGCAACATCGAAAATTTGATCAAAACTTCAAATATTGTTTTCTCAAAAACTAAAAGTTATTTTTCAAAACGGGTTGGTTCATTGGAAAGAGGACACTTTTATTAACACTTTGGGAAATTTTCATACTCATATTCCAAGAACTGGATTTTATACGAATTTTTAAAACTTAATCGGCGAAAATTGCAAAATTCGAAAAAATTGTCGATCATTTCAAAAATTTATTTCTCAAGAACTAAAAGTGATTTTTCAAAACGGCTTTTTGCATTAAAAAGAGGATACTTTAATTAATAATTGGTGATATTTCCACAAGGATCCTTCAAGAAATTAATTTTATAGCGAATTTTGAAAATTATCGATGAAAATTGCAACATCGAAAATTTTATCAAAACTTCAAATATTGTTTTCTCAAAAACTAAAAGTTATTTATCAAAACGTGTTGGTTCATTGGAAAGAGGACTCTTTTATTAACATTTTGGGAAATTTTCAAATTCATATTCCAAGAAATCGATTTTATACGAATTATTAAAATTTAATCGATGAAAATGTAAAATTCGAAAAAATTGTCGATTAATACAACCACTCGAATACCTAAAGTAGCTCCTACTCTGATCAAAAACTATAAACTTTGTAATATGGAAAGAGTGAACGCAGGAATAAAGGAATATGTGAGATCTAACCCTGTTATCACACCCGAGTCTATCGCAACCTTTAATAAACGCTTGCTTAATTTGGTGGATGAAGCGAGCCCTTCTTACAACAAGAAACATTACAATTTCCCTCTGCCACCATTTATTCTCCGTTTAATTAAAGAAAAGAGACGACTCTACCGCGATTTCAGATCCTATGAGGAGCCTGCTCTGAAAAGAATGTTTAATGAGCTTAATAAAAATATCCAAAAGCTAGTGCAGCAATTCAGAAGTGAAAAATACATTGAGGCCTGTGATAAAATCAACAGAAGCAACTACTGGCAAGAAGTCCGCAAACTTTCGAAGTACCAAAAGTCCCCAGAAACCCAGGAGCTTATTGACCCTACGGACGGCTGCTCACACTCTAGTCCGGAAAAAATCGTAAATATCCACGCTGAATACCTTGAGAGGGTGTTTTCCTTCAGCAATGAGGCCCTGTTCTGCCCTCACAACAAAAACACAATAGACAATTGGTACCAACACGCCTTTCTCAATTCGTCCGAAACACCTCAAGATGCTCTCATGCAGGAAGAAGAATACTTCACACTTCTTAACAGAGGAACCAACACAGCCCCTGGATACGACAACATCTCAAGGGAAATCTTAAGGAAGCTGGATCTTGATATCCACGCCTACATAAGAAAAATTTACAACTATTGCCTTACCACCCAGCATTTCCCACAAGATTGGAAGACCTCTATTATCATATGCATCCCCAAGAAAGATTCTTCTCTATCCGACCCTGCGAACTACCGTCCTATCTCATTGCTACCCGTAATGGGGAAGCTTTTCGAGGTACACTTGAAGAACAAGCTGCTCGATGTTGTTGCAAGGAGGATTCCGTCATACCAATTTGGATTCCAACAAGGTAGATCTACATCTCATCCCTTGGCAGTGCTTGTCTCAAACTTCCAAGTCGCACGTTACCAAAAACAACAATCCGCCGCAGTCTTCCTGGATGTTCGGAAGGCATTCGACTCCGTATGGCACAGAGGTCTACTGTACAAGCTAGCTATGTTGAAAATCCCATCTTATCTTCTTAACCTGCTAAAAGAATTTCTTTCAGACCGCTCCTCATTGGTTAAAGTGAAGAACTACTACTCTCACAGTTTCACCGCTCAACAAGGTCTCCCTCAAGGCTCTCCCATCTCGCCAGCACTGTACAACGTCTACTGCCATGACATCTACAACGACAACCCAGACGTCTTCGATCCGATGTCTTACGCCCTACTTTATGCCGATGATACTACTCTCGTCGCACATGATGTAGACATTCCATCATCAATCCTAAGGCTGCAGACGCTCATCCAAAACATAGAGGAATGGTACCGAAAATGGCGTATCCTGATAAATCCTTCCAAAACCCAATTCTTCATCCCCTTCCTCCCTATTCGCGTTGCTCCTCCCACAATAATAATTCAATCTTCTCCTATCACAGCATCACCAACTTGTAACTACCTCGGCATTACCTTGGATAGAACCCTTAAATTCTCTACCCACGCCATCAAGGTAAAAATGAAAGTCAAAAACCGCGCCAAACACTTCCGCTCACTCTCATATAGAGGCCGAGGGATATCCACCAAATGCGCTACTCACATATACACCTCAATATGCCGACCTATTATCGAATATGCCTCATTAATCATGACTGAAGCGCCGAGAGGATCACAGTACCATCTGGAAGTAGCAGAGAGAGCAGCCCTGAGAATTATCACCCGCATTAGACACCCTCACAACCCACTTTTCAACCCTTCCAACGAACTCCTTTACGACCTTACAAAGATTCCTCCTATAAACTCCCGTCTACAATCCTTAGCCCTTAAAGCAATTATGAACTTCCCTAAAAACGCCTTAAAAAATCTCATCATCATTCCCCTTTCCCTTACCCGCTGTTCCGTAACACGGCTCACACTTCTTAAAAAAATAAGGCCCAACTGAGAAGACCCAAGTACAACCAAACCGAACGCAATATCACGGGCAGGAAGACTAAGGTCTATAGCCCTTTTGGACTCTTTTTTATATTTATTTTATATATGTATTTCTTTTCGTATTTCTTATTGTTATAATTTTTTATATAAGTCCAAATAAATATTGTTTTCTTCTTCTTGTCGATTATTTCAAAAATTGATTTCTCAAAAACTAAAAGCGATTTTTCAAAACAAAAAAATTAATAATTGGTAATATTTCCACAAGGTCCTTCAAGAAATGAATTTTATAGCGAATTTTGAAAATTATCGATGAAAATTGCAACATCGAAAATTTGATTAAAACTTCAAATATTGTTTTCTCAGAAACTAAAAGTTATTTTTCAAAATGGGTTGGTTGATTGGAAAGAGGACACTCTATAATTTCTCTATAATTTTGTGTAAAGTCGTCTAATTTTTATAAATCGTACAATAATAACTCTATTTTTTTTAACAAAAATAAAACTAAAATGCGGAACAATCATGTATTTTTATTAAATTTTAACAATTACATTTTGATAGCCTCTGATTTATTTAATTTAACAAAATAAAACCGTGAAAGGAAAATGCGAGGTTCCCCCATTTTTTTATTATAATAATAATAATAAACGACGTTGTTTATTTTGTATGTACAAAAATTCGTTTTAAAACGATATATTAATTAATCATTAATAATTAATTAATAATAGGCGAGTATTTGATTATAATTTAATAGTGATAACACTAAAAAATTATCGATATTAGTTGTGAGTGCAGTCTTACACTTTTTGCAGGTTAATTTAGTGATTAAACATTTTGCGTTATTTACAAGAAAACAGTTTATAATCGAATGAAAACGAAGTGAACGTGAGTTAAGGAGATGGGAGGATGAAGTGCAAAGAAAACAATACGAATAATCAACAATCGTATAATAATAATATTTCAATAATGAATTAGAAACAAGGAATGAAGTGATACAGGCAAAAAGAGTTTTCTATTTTTCTACTTTATAAATAAACGTTTTTCTTTTTTTTTTTAGTAATTTTTCCGCGTTGACAAATAGAAAATTTACAATCAAGATAAAAAAGTAAAAATTTTTTTTATGTACAGGTGTCCCGTTTATTTTTGATATATTTTTTTTTAAGTGTATTTTTAAATGGTGTACAAAATAAAATGTTTGAATAAAAATGCGTTATTTATTATTTTTTTTGTTGAGTTTAATTTAATGCAAGCTTTTTAGTTCTCTTATTTGTACAATAACCTTTTTTTTAAGCTTCTATCACACTTATTTTACTGCAAGAACCAATTTATTTGATTATTTCTTTATTTCTCCCCCGATTCTTCGCTCTAAATTTAACAATTTATTTATTACTCATTTTTTGGCGCCGTTTTCAAATAAAGCAAATTACATTAGGTTACATTATTTTTTTTGTTGTTACATTGAAAATAGCGATTTTGACAGTAAGCTGTAATTTTTTATGTTAACTTTTTCTTCAATTCCCTAAAACACGGCTAATTTTATGATCTATTCGAAAATTAAGCAAGAAAAATATGATTTTCGTTTTTATGGGTTAATTTTCTTTGATAATTTAAGTAATTTCCCTTGTTGGTCCGATTTATAATCTCAAAATTCTTTCTTGTTGAGTTTTAATACAACATTTAAAAATACAATTTAATTAGCACTCAATGGATAAATTAATGATCTTTCTGTCCGGTTTAATAAACAATTAATACGATTAATTGACACATTAGGAACGTCCAAGAAAGAAAAATTAAAAATAAAGTTCTATTTCTTTTTTATATTGACGATTATATTAAAAATTTCTTTTTAAAATAGTTGTTTTAGGACAGATTTCTTTCAGTATCATTTTTTAATTGTAAGTTGAAGACTTGATTCTTATTCTTTAATAAATATATTGCAAGAAAAAGTTATTATTTAATTATTATTATTACTTCATGGAATCAATTAAGTATAACGAATTTAAACCAAATCCCTTTTCCCATTTCTTCTTAACCATAAATTAATTAACTTTTATTTTCATCACAATGAAATTAATTATAATCACAGACAAAAACAAGCGTGACCCATTTTTCTTTAATCAGTTCATTTCTACTAAAAATAAATACCTACATCACTCGTATTGCTATTTAATTAATTTAATTAATTAATTAATTCATTTTTTTTTACTACGACATCTAAAAAAAAGTGCTTTTTTGACTCAATCTTTTTAATAGTCGTGCAATAATTAGCAACAATACTAATTAATAATAATATTTTAACATTACCTCTTCTTATTGCATTCATGAAACAAATACGCCAACAAATATATAGTTTTTTTATGTATAATCGTTACGTATTATTTACAAATTCCTTTTTTATTATTTTTTTGTTAAATAGTTTTCTTAAGTTACTGTAGATTTATTTTAGCTTTGTGTGTATCGTGATTTTGTTTGTTATTGTGTGTAATCCGAGCGAAAAGTGCGTATAATTTTTAAAATTTTTAATGTTTTCTTTTAAAATCAGATTATCTTGTTCTGATTTTATTATTTATTTGTTGTTGTTGTCGATTTGAAGATGTAATTTTCGCCTACATCTAATGTCACGTCGCTGGAACCGCAACTTTCATGAACCAAAAGTACCACCCTGTTTTCTCAGTTAGAATCCCCGTTGATATTTTTTGATGTACAAAATAAATCTGAAATAGAAAATAATAATTAGGAGTATTAAATTAATTAAAAAAATTAGTCGATAATAAAATTAAAACATTAAAATTTCAAATATTAAGATTACGATTACGATATCAAGAACGATATTGATAGATAACAGGAAACATCTCAAAGGAGCTCAGATTTTGCTCTTGATCTTGTCATAAACGATATCGATGATATCAGGGACAACATTCGAACATATTAAAGACAATGTCGAGATATATAAACAATGATATCGATATATAGTAGGAATGATGTTGACAGATGATGCGAAAGTCAATGATAAGATATCATTGATAACTGTCAGGCAAGATGGTTAAGGTTGATGTTAATAGACCTTAAGAAAGATGTTGAGGAATACCAGGACAACGTTAAGATAAATAAGGGACAATTATGATGCCATACACAATTTTGAAGATCGAATTTCGATGTTGCAATTTTCATCAATAATTTTCAAAATTCTCTATAAAATTCATTTCTTGAAGGATCCTTGTGGAAATGTCACCAATTATTAATTAAAGTATCCTTTTTTTAATGCAACAAGCCGTTTTGAAAAGTCGCTTTTAGTTTTTGAGAAATAAATTTTTGAAATGATCGACAATTTTTTCGAATTTTGCAATTTTCGCCGATTAAGTTTTAAAAATTCGTATAAAATCCATTTCTTGGAATATGAGTTTGAAAATTTCCCAAAGTATTAATAAAAGTGCCCTCTTTCAAATGAACCAACACGTTTTGAAAAATAACTTTTAGTTTTTGAGAAAACAATATACGAAGTTTTGATAAAATTTTCGATGTTGCAATTTTCATCGATAATTTTCAAAATTCGCTATAAAATTCATTTCTTGATTCATAACGCGATGAAAATACTATACTACGTCTATCTCGTCTTCTCACAAAGTAGTGAAATTAAACATTAACCCTTAATAAATTTAATTTGTCAAAAAATTTATTTATATATGGTAATTTTTGATTTTAATTCATTTAGGTTGGTACTTATTTATTTTTTAAACATCAAATGTCAAATTTTGTGTCCAGATTTTTTTTTATTTGATTGATTTCGGTCGTTTTAGTGTAATCTATTTAACATCAAATAAACGATATCATCTAAAATCGTCATCTTTTGGAGACCTCGACAAAGTGAGGTTATGTTTTCTTACAGAAGACTTTGTATCTTTACAAAGATGTATAAAGAACGATTTCTCTTCAAATCGCCATCATCAGGTATGATATTTAAGGTTGATCTTGACAGATGTTAGAGAAGATGTTGAAAGAAATCAGAACAACGTTGAGATATCTCTGGGACAATTTTAGAATCTCTAAGAACCCACGTGCTTCCTAGAGATTCAAAGATAACTTCTTTTAGATTCATTTAGTTCATTCCATTTGATATAATTTTGTTGATATGGTTTCAACTGATGATGTAGTTCAGACGCAAACAAGAATTTGTTATGAAATTTTCTTATTTTTATCACAAAAATTTATTTATTAAGTTCTGGTAATTTTTGATTTTAATTTATTTGGGTTGGTACTTATTTAGTTTTTAAACATCAAATGTCAATTTTGTGTCAAGATTTTTTTTATTTGGTTTATTTCGGTCTTTTTAGTGTAATCTATTCAACATCAAATAAACGATATCATCAAAAATCGCCGAAGCAATGTATCAACATGAAATCGTCATCTTTTGAAGATTCAAGCGCCTCGCCCGCAAGCGACCTCGACAGAGTGAGGTTATGTTTTCTTACAGAAGACTTTGTATCTTTAATAAAGATCGATTTCTCTTCAAATCGACAAGGTCGCTTGTGGGCGAAGCGCTAGTTCTGATTAATCAACACGAAATAGTCAGTTCTATACTCTGTTTTTAAACAAGGAGGAGTAAACGCGAAAGTCAGATTTACACTAGGAAAAATCAAAGAAACCAAAGAAAACTTCAAGGTATAATTAATGTTTGTAAACAAAACTAACCTTACCTAACATTCCTTCACGCTATAATTGACATTACAAAAGAAAACTTCACGCTATAATTGCCATTACTAATTGCCAAAGAATACTTCATGGTATAATTAATGTTTGTAAACAAAACTAACCTTACCTAACATTCCTTCACGCTATAATTGACATTACAAAAGAAAACTTCACGCTATAATTGCCATTACTAATTGCCAAAGAAAACTTCATGGTATAATTAATGTTTGTAAACAAAACTAACCTTACCTAACATTCCTTCACGCTATAATTGACATTACAAAAGAAAACTTCACGCTATAATTGCCATTACTAATTGCCAAAGAAAACTTCATGGTATAATTAATGTTTGTAAACAAAACTAACCTTACCTAACATTCCTTCACGCTATAATTGACATTACAAAAGAAAACTTCACGCTATAATTGCCATTACTAATTGCCAAAGAAAACTTCATGGTATAATTAATGTTTGTAAACAAAACTAACCTTACCTAACATTCCTTCACGCTATAATTGACATTACAAAAGAAAACTTCACGCTATAATTGCCATTACTAATTGCCAAAGAAAACTTCATGGTATAATTAATGTTTGTAAACAAAACTAACCTTACCTAACATTCCTTCACGCTATAATTGACATTACAAAAGAAAACTTCACGCTATAATTGCCATTACTAATTGCCAAAGAAAACTTCATGGTATAATTAATGTTTGTAAACAAAACTAACCTTACCTAACATTCCTTCACGCTATAATTGACATTACAAAAGAAAACTTCACGCTATAATTGCCATTACTAATTGCCAAAGAATACTTCATGGTATAATTAATGTTTGTAAACAAAACTAACCTTACCTCACATTCCTTCACGCTATAATTGACATTACAAAAGAAAACTTCACGCTATAATTGCCATTACTAATTGCCAAAGAATACTTCATGGTATAATTCTCTAGTGTCAGGTATAAAGGGCTTAAGTCACAAAATGGCACTTTTCAATATAGTAACAGAGTTAAGTCAGTTTGTTTTTCCCTTTCGATTGGTATTGTGGGCTTAAGTCTAACACCAACTGCTGCTACTATTTTAAACCGGTCTATAGGCTATAAGTCAGAACGCGTCTTATCTTGTTCGGTATTATAATCGTAAGTTGACATAAGCCCTTTTGAGCAACCAATTTAAAACTATGCAGACGTTCCTAAAGACTTAAATTGACTTAGGTCTTTCATATCAAACATGCTTTGGCAATTCAGTCTATTATTAATTTAGTGTTATTGTACAGAAATGAGTGAAAGAAGTAAATATATAGTGCAATTAGCTCTAGGACGTTCAGGTAATTATTACTCTTCTAAAGTACAACGTATTTTTCAGACGTTATAGTGGCAAGAAATGGCAAGAGGTTATCTGTATGCAAGGACTGTTTTTGCAGGACTTTGGATGAAAAAGAGAAATTTATTAGAATGGCTATCAGAAATAAAACGAAGAATACTTCTGGTATTACTACAAATGATGGAAGAGGCAAAACATCTTCCGCAAACAAAAAAACGGAGGAAGAAATAAATGCAGTAGTAGCACACATTACATCGTTTCCTTCATATGAAAGTCATTATACCAGACGCACGAATGACAAAAAGTACCTTCCATCTCATTTAAACTTGCGAATTATGTACGATTTATATAAGGAAGAAAGAAACAATCCTGTTGGTAGGACAATATATGAGAGAGAATTTCATAAGTTGAAACTCTCATTTAAAAAACCGCACGTGGATACTTGTTCTAAATGCGACACCTTTCATATGCAAGTACAGGTTGCTACTAACTCGAACAATGTGGAAGAGAAGCTCCGTGTACAAAGAGATCTACAGTTACACCAAGAACAAGCGAATGCAGCATACGAGGCAAAAAAAGCAGACAAAGAAGTAGCTAAAGTCAATTCTGCAAAAAAATGCTATAGTTTTGATCTCTATCAATGTTTGCCAACACCGTTTATTGGTTCCTCGGTAGCGTTTTACAAAAGGCAATTGTGGACATATAATTTGATCGTTCATGACTGGTGAATCAACACATTACATGTGGCACGAGGCTTTAGCTGCCAGGGGAGGCAATCAAATTGCTTCCTGCTTATATAGCTATTTAAAAAAAATTACCTGATTCCGTGACTGAAGTCACATTGTACTCAGACACATGTGGAGGGCAGAACAAAAATAGTCATGTTGCTGCCATGTTCTTAAAAGTGCAAAGTGAATTTCCCTATCTTATAATCAATCACAAGTTCCTAGTACCAGGCCATACTCACATGGAATGTGACATCGATCACTCCATGATAGNTTTAAGAACACAAAATATACAATAATGACACGAAACTGTCGAATTATCAATTACCTAACCTTCAAATTCAAAATCAAAATTGCCTGTGTGTGAACCTTCCTCGCATTCAACCAATCACGTGCAAGGTCAATCTGGTGACAAATTTAAAATACTCCTGGTTTAAAAACAGAGTATAGTAAGTTCTACTGCCTCGCCCGTATAGCGACCTCGGCAGAGGGAGGTTAAATATTTTCTTATAGAAAACTTTGTATTTTTACAAAGATATAAAAGGAACAATTTCGCCTAGAATCGCCGAAGTCGCTTGCGGGCATAATAAGGAGAGATATCTCAAGGACCTATGTCTAAATCACCTGATTGAAATTAAAACGGACCTCATACCGACGGAATACAATTTCAACCAACCGTATAAGGTCATATTTAGTAGCAGGGATGATTGGGCGAAGGGAGGGCCTCAACTAAAAAGAGGAGCCCTAGCCTGGTACACCGATGCTTCAAAGACAGTAAGATCTGGAGTAGGCATGGGCATCAGTGGACCAAATAGTCACATCAAATTGCCCCTCAGCTCAGCAAGTTCTTGCTATAAACTTCTGCACCGCTTTGAACCTACAGAAAGGACAAAAAGGTGCATCCATAAACATTTTCACAGACAGTCGGGCCGCCTTAAAGGCAATTCAGGCCTACACGTGTGGCTCCGCACTGATCAGAGAGTGTACCAACAACCTGAGAGAACTCGCTAGGGGCAATGATGTTACCCTATAGTGGGTTCCAGGTCACAGCAACATTGAGGGCAATGAAAAGGCCGACAAGCTGGCCAAAGAGGCAGCAAACACGACCTTCATTGGACCCCAACCTGGATGTGGACTACAAAAAAGCCACTTAAAACAAACAATCAACAACTGGGAGGCTTCAAAGATAGCCTTACGCTGGAAAGAACTTCCAGGTCACAGACAAGCGAAGAGTATGATAACTCCGTCGCAAAACAAAACCAAAGAGGTTTTATGCCTCAGATAAAGAACGCTCTCAGGCTACCTGACCGGCCATGTGCCCCTAAAATACCACCTCTTCCACATTGGACAAGCTGAGGATCAAACTTGTCGACTATGCAACGACGAGTCAGAAACTGCTGAACATATACTGTGCAATTGCTTCGCCAGAGGCCGTCTAAGGCACAACGTCTTCGGTAAAACTCCCCTGTTACCTACCGACATAAAGGTTCAAGACCTCAGGACAATACTAAGGTTCATTAAGGTTACAATAGATCTTATAGGTCGCGGTAACGAGAGGGGCCGCTCTCCTCAGCCCGGCAGCAATAATAATAATAATTATAAAGTTTCGGGCGCAAACGACTTCAGCTTAATTGAACGAAATCCTACATTCTGTGTATTAAGGTTAGCCGCTATGATAGGCGCTATGATGGCTTTACCAGCTTTGAGTCGATATGATATTAATTGTAGAGCTTCTACCGCACGTGACTTCCACTTAATTTTGCAATACACTGTTGGAAATAATTCACGAGCACACCCTATATAATCTGAACGCGTGAAGATAAATTAATAATATTTGCGGAGCACAAAGGTTTACTGTATTCAGCGAGTTTCGAGTTGTTCCGTCGCGGCATTGTTGACTGAGCCGTGCTTCCAAGTGGAACATTCCGTCGCTATGGAGACCGAAGTGGATGGAAAATACCGGTCGTTTTTAGTGTGGTGTGAGGGACCACATTGTTATCGTACTCTGTGCGCAATGGATGAGCGATCGCGTTACTTTAAGCGAGTTTGAGCGAGGAATGTTTGTGGGTATGAATATTGAGGGTGTATCGTTCTGTGAAATTGCGCGTCGTCTCGAGCGGTCGTTATCGGCAGTGCAACGAGCATGGCGAGAATGTTCTGAGGTAGGACATAGGTACCTACAGCCGCGGCCGGGACGGCTCTGCGCGAATTTTAGTTCGTCGGAGCCGTGATGATCGTCTACTCGAGCAGTGTGTGCAAGAACGCCCTATCCACCGACAACCGAGCATTATGGTATTTGTGCGATTACATATGGTGGACGTACACGTCTGCTGCGTGTATAGCAGACCATGACGGGTCAACGATACGTAGATGAGGTACTACGGTCCGTTGTGCTTCCCTACGTTCGGCGGCTCCCATGTCTGCTATACATGCACGACAATGTACGACAGCACATCGGGCGTGTTGTACAGACCTTTGTAGAAGAGCACCGTATACGAATGCTTCCATGGCCAGCTCGTTTTCCGGATCTGAATCCAATCTAACATGTTTGGAACATGACTGGTCGGAGACTTCAAGAGGAGCTATGGAAGCGAGTTGAGGTGGCATGATTGGCCATCCCTCTCGCTACAATATAGCGACTTATAGACTCCATGCCACGTCGTGTAGCGATGGTACGCGAAGCTCCCGGGGGATACTCTCGCTATTGATGTTTCTCCTCCCAGCAGAGTTGTGCCGNTTTATTATATTTTTGAAGTTTTATGTTTTTAGACGTATTAATGTCTATCATATAACCTCTAAAAACACAGACAGTTACCAGGCGTGGCAAATAGTGTGACGTAGAGTGCGGGCAACCAACCCGTAGTGGACTACAAAAATACAATGGATGTAGCAGTCCTGTTAGATTCTACTGTCCTTGGATTATTCCAACATTTTGTTATTGAATAAAAATGTAATCACTCAGCGCCGTTTTTTTGCTTGACTTAAGTCCTTACGTCAAACAAAATAAATATAGGTAGTTATTAATCAGAGGGTCTTGAAGACTTAAGTCAGCCAAATTCAGGTAAATATTTACACTGTTGGAAATAATTCACGAGCACACCCTATATAATCTGAACGCGTGAAGATAAATTCATAATATTTGCGGAGCACAAAGATTTACTGTAGACGAGTTTATTCAGGGAGTTTCGAGTTGTTCCGTCGCGGCATAGTTGACTGAGTCGCCCTTCCAAGTGGAACATTCCGTCGCTATGGAGACCGAAGTGGATGGAAAATACCGGTCGTTTTTAGTGTGGTGTGAAGGACCACATTTTTATCGTACTCTGTGCGCAATGAATGGACGATCGCGTTATTTAAGCGAGTTTGAGTGAGGAATGTTTGTGGGTATGCATATTGAGGGTGTATCGTTCTGTGAAATTGCGCGTCGTCTCGAGTGGTCGTTATCGGCAGTGCAACGAGCATGGCGAGAATGTTCTGAGGTAGGACATAGGTACCTTCAGCCGCGGCCAGGACGGCCCTACGCGTCCCCAGCACACGAGGATCGCGCTCTTGTGCTCAGCGCTTTAGCGTCGTGTGTGTCCTCCTCAAGGCAATTTGGAGCTGTTTGGCCACTGGCAGGGGAAGGCGCACTCACTACGCGAAATTTACGGCGGCGTTTGGTAGATAATGGACAGGCGTGCGCGTCGTGCGATACAGCGGATTCCAGGAACACCCGAGCACCGCAGCATACGTCACGAGTGGGTCGACGTTTTGTTTTCCGACGAATCAAGATTCGAATTGAGCACCGGTGATGCGCGAATTTTAGTTCGTCGGAGCCGTGATGATCGTCTACTCGAGCAGTGCGTGCAAGAATGCCCTATCTACCGACAACCGAGCATTATGGTATGGGGTGCTATTACACATGGTGGACGTACATGTCTGCTGCGTGTATAGCGGACCATGACGGGTCAACGATACGTAGATGAGGTGCTACGGTCCGTTGTGCTTCCCTACGTTCGGCTGCTCCCAGGTCTGCTATACATGCACGACAAAGTACGACAGCACATCGGACGTGTTGTACAGACCTTTGTAGAAGAGCACCGTATACGAATGCTTCCATGGCCAGCTCGTTTTCCGGATCTGAATCCAATGTAACATGTTTGGAACATGACTGGTCGGAGACTTCAACGTTATCCGGCTTCCCCGGCAAACGTTGAGGAGCTATGGAAGCGAGTTGAGGTGGCATGATTGGCCATCCCTCTCGCTACAATATAGCGACTTATAGACTCCATGCCACGTCGTGTAGCGATGGTTCGCGAAGCTCCCGGGGGATACTCTCGCTATTGATGTTTCTCCTCCCAGCAGAGTTGTGCCGCTCTCGATGTGAGAGTAAGTTACACTACTTTAGTACTACTTCCATACCAAATTTTATTGCGCTAGACACACGCGTTCAGATTATACAGGGTGTGCTCGTGAATTATTTCCAACAGTGTATCTTACAATGTATGCCTTAAGTTCAGTAGAGGCCATTAGCGGCCCAGGCGGTGTAATGTGTAAACCAGTTTCGGGTTGATATAATATTAATTACCGAACCTCGGTTGGTCTAAATTACCTGATATTCTACATTTTGCATTTTCCGTCATAAACTCTGTCTACAGAGTGTTCTCACTTTTAGACACCTTCAGACACTCTTCGACATTTTTGAACATTTTTGACAATCTTGGACACTTTTGCGGTTTATTTCTCTTTGACAATCATTTAGTTAATTCAATTAATTTAGTATTTCTGATGATATCCTAAGAACAGCATGCAATACAACTAAAAATTCAATATGATAGCACGGAGTTTGGCGACATTGTTTAATAACTAACTTTATCTTTTTTCATAATAAGATATACACAAAAAAAAATTTGTCTTGGTTATCCTCATACTGCTAAATTACCCAACAAGAATATAGTAAGTAAAATCTGAATTTGTAAAAAACCTCCAAATATTTAATCAGTTCATCAAATACCAACCTTTGACTGCTACGAAGCCAAATTATTTCCTTTTGAAATTGTATTTCCCGGTTGTCTCGAACTAATCCCAACCATCATCGTCGTATGAAGCAACAACCTCGTTTCTTCCGTAGGTGAGTGATCATCCATTGGCGGCGGTGGTGGACAGATATAAAGTGGCACCTCACTTTCCGTTAATTTATTATCAATAACCGGATCGCTATAACCTTGTTTTTCCTTATTAATGATATCATCGAGCAAAAATAACGACGATTTCAACGTTTTCGCACGTTCATTATTTTCTTGTTGAGGTTGCTGTTGTTGATATGACGAGGAAGCGTTCTTAGCACGTTTTTGACTCAACGTCCGGTGAGGCATCGGAGGAGAAGATAATCTTTTATTCGGCGAATATTCGTTTCCCGAACCTACGTCTAATTCGGATATTAAACGTTCACTTTCCGGGTCATTGTATTTGTAACCGCTGCTATCGGATTTTTTTAAGATTGATTTTGATCTTCGGTGGTGTTCAAGTTGAGGACTTGCTCTGCTATCTATCGAGTCAACCGATAATGAAGATTTACTCCCACCATTTTTACCTAATCAAAAAATAAATTTTATTAATTTGGATTATTGTTGATGTTGTTGCAAACCTGATCTAGTACCTAAAGTTTGAACACCAAATAAATGTTGATTAATGATTCTTGTAGCCGAAGCGAACGATTTGGAAGACATAAACGAAGATTTCTTGGAAGGTCTTTTCGATTCTAAACTTTCTTGGGAATCCCGCTCGAAAGCATCGCCAAATCGCGTTCTTGGTTTTCCACCCTAAAAATAAATTAAATAATACAAATTTGATTATAAATTGAATATAAATTTGTGTACTTGTTGAAATCTTGTTCTTCTTTGTCGAGGATACGAAGAATCGTTCAAACTAACTCGACTTCCTCTATCGATCGGTCCAAAACCTCGATAACCCTCCTCCATAGGCGATGTCGTTAAACTTCTAAGAGCTGTATCACCGGATGCCGATTTTTTGAATCCCCCAGTTCTTCCAGTTGGAGGTGCTGGAGTAACCGGGCTATTATCACCACTCTTATCCAACGGATTCACATAAAGATTGCTGTCGATAGCGCAAGATGGGTCGGCTATATCCGAGGTAAGATCACCTTGAGAATGAAACGGGTGCGTGTTGCAACTGGCGAAAGTATCCGAACTGTCCATACTCCCCATATCACCGTTGTTATTGTTATTATTTACGTTGTTGTTGCTGTAGGAAACCAATGGTTTCGTTTTCAAATCGAAATCGTCGAATGATACTAAGTTCTGTTCATTTTTCAGTGTTCTCATTTCTAAACAGACCGGATTTCGGAAGTCGCTCGTCGCTAGTGGCATTAAGTTTTCGGCGTCAACGAATTCTTTGAATCCCTGGATGATGGAGTCAAAGAAAAGAAAAATGATATTTTGTAAATCTTTGTATTTTATTGATATATTAATAATGTGCTTATCAGATTTCAATTAAAATATTAAAATTAAGTCAATTTTTCATTTAGAAAAGTTATTGGTTTTTGACATTTTTAATAATTACAGTTTACTTTTTTATCTCTTTAAACATATGTTTCACAGCTTTCAAATTTTTTAGCATGACGCAGATTATAATATTCAAAATTGCCCAACAAAGTGAGTTCAGCAAGGACTAGAGTCATTGTACAGTGTGTTAATTAATTATCGTACCCGACGTCATCATTGCAAGTATGTAACCAATATCACAGTATTTTTATTGCAATACGCGATTTGCGTATGATGCGTATTGGACTGTGATATTGGTTGCATACTTGCAATGATGACGTCGGGTACGATAATTAATTAACACACTGTATCCAATAATGTTTAAACTGGACATTCTACTCCGGAAGCTTCATAATTCATATTATACATACCAAGATATATTAAGGATCATCTGGACCGTGTCTAAATGCTAAGAGGCATATAAACCAAGTATTATTATTGATTGGAGGTCTTAGTTCCATGATCTCCTGATAAAAGAAGTTGTTGGCTATAATCCCTAGACCCTCATGAAAATCGATGAAATAAATATTGAAAAGAACCGATAAATAAGGACCGATAAAATTTCCTCTGTGATCTCGGACATATAAATCTCCATCGCGAAAGATGTTTACAATACTACGTGTCACTTTAGCTGGAACTCCTACAAAGTTCATCTTTTGCTCCAATAAGTCCAGGATTACCGAATTGTATGCGCTTTTCAAATCAAGAAATAAACTGGCGCAATATTGATTTTTGAAAAAGCAAGTTGAACCTCGGTAACTAAAACTGCCACTGCGTCCAGCGAACTAAACGATTTTCTAAAGCCATATTGATGACAAGGCAGGATTTTATTTTGATCTAGCCACCATACTTTTGAATGTCTTGATGTAGCCAACATCTAATTATAAACGCCCAACAAAAAATGCTTCACGCCCGGAAAAAGACGTTCTATAGGTAATACGATTCAGAAAATCTTGCAGCTTATCCTCACTAATAAGACAAGATCTATTGCCAGGCAACCCAGAAAATAAGGTACATATGGTTCACTGGTAGATCATTGTACGTTTTGACTATCTGGTAGGAAATACATCTTTCCTTGTTACATTAATATTATGGACCTAGCTTCTGAAAGATAGGTATTGCAGCAAGTAAGGAGGCCATTGACTTATTTATTTAATAGTTTTATAATAAACACAAGTTGCATGCAGTTTACGTCTGTTCTTCATGTGGTCATACTTACGAATTCCGTAAATAAACCTTAGACAACCATTCTGGAGGTTCTGGATACGACGCGCCCTTTAAATTTGGACCATAAACAACGTCGCAGTGATTTAATTTGCTTAGAACCAAGCTATCACACAGCATAATTTTTAATTTAAGACATCCCTATGGGTATACAAGAGACGGAGGGCGCCATACCCAAACCTCAAGCACCTGGCCATATGCTCCTCAAACCTCAACTGATGATCCAATGTAACTCCTAAAATTTTTATATCAGAAACAGGTTCGCCATTCACCACCAATTGACCGGATATCAAAGGATTAATTGCTCTCCTTGTGACACTACCACAAAACAGAAGAACAGAAGATGCATGTGCTTAATGCAGCTCATGACGTTTAGCAACACTAGAAAATAATACTATATCTGAGTTAAATTTTATGCAGGCATCATCCCAATTATTTGGATTAAAATTCAGCAGAAGCTGTGTATCATCTGCATACAAGTGAATCTGCGAATGCTTAAGAACTTAGTTAAAATCAGATGCCCTAAAATGGACCCCTGAGGGACTCCACAAATAACAGACACAGCTGATTATTAATCTTCACAACCTGAGACTTATCCGACAAAAATGACTTTATTAAAATTACAGCCTGATTTCCAAGACCAAAATAATGAAGTTTAAATGCAAGTATATTATGATTTATTGTATCAAATGCTTTGGTGAACAAAAGTGCGGCTTGCCCGGCCTCTCTAGAAGCAAATACCTCATCAGTAAGGTTCAAGCTGTTGCGTAGCTGAAACCCGAACGAAACGCAGATTGTTGATCTGGCAGTAAATTATAACTTTCGCAGTGTGCTTTAAGTTGCCTTTTCAAGACTCTCTCTAAAATTTTTGACATTACTGCTAGGATACTGATCGGTCTAAAATCCCTTAGGGCAGAAGGGGAAGCTACTTTAGGTAACGCAATTACTTCAGCCATCTTCCAGGCATCCGGAAAAACTGATTGATGAATAGCAGTGTTTATTACGTGAGTAATATAAGGAATGAGAAAAGGGGTACACAAGTCAATCATCCAGACTGAGATACCACCAGAACCCACCGCTGCAGTTTTAATGTTATTAATTATTATAGATACTTCATGTTCATCAACGGGCATAAAAGCTTGCATTATCTGCACTCTAGGGTTTACATTATTTTGATAAAATATGGGTAATTCGGAATCAGTCTGGATATAAAGTGAAGAATCTTCGAATAATATCCCATACTTCTTTTGCAGGTGTAGTTCTGTTTATACTACTGCAATAATTTTTTGCCTTCAGAAATCGTTTGACGTAGACCATAGTCTCTTGCACCTTAAAATAGTTATCCAGGATGGGGCACTCCTCATCCCACCAAGGCAGTGGTGTTTTGGTTGTCCTTCTGTATGGTCGCCTGCATAAAAAACAGAAACGATCTTGAAGAATAAGATGAACTTTTGTAGAATCAAACTTTTCTGTGATAGTTCTTGTAAAATCATGTAATTTTCCATTTGCTCTTAGGATAGATTGTTTGGGATAAAGAAACGGAAGATTGATACTGAATAAAAATAGGAATGTGATCAGAAGCAAAGGAGTCCTCCAAAACCTCCCACTTTACATTGTGAGCTATATCGCTAGATAAAATGGTGACGTCGACAGCAGAGGCACCCTCCCTCGGCCTAGTTGTACGGGTAGAAGATCCATCATTACAGTATAGAATGGTAATCTATAGACTTCAAAAGCACATTACCAGCATGATTATTCTTAGTGGAGCCAAACGCAGTATGGTGTCCATTAAAGTCATCGCCTATCAAGAGGGAGCAAAAATAAAGAATAGTTTATGGTAATCATCACATTGCATATTAGCTCCATCTTGCCGATAAACCGAGCAAATTAAAATGTCTAAATCAGCTAATTGAATTCCACAAACAGTTCTGAACATTCGGAATCAGTGTGGTCTTTAGCTATATTCTCCCCTTTGCGCTTTTTAGGATGGGGTTTAACAAAATCCGTAACAGGAGTAGAGTTATTTGGAGTTTTCTCAACATCTTTGGATTCTGATCTAACTGATGAAGCAGTTCTGCCACGCTTTTTCACAGTTTCAAAATCATCGTTAATGATAATGGGTGTCCTTGTTGACGACGTTGAGAATTTATATCTTTATTATCGTCAAAATTAGAACTGCTAGTGATTTTTGGCATTCAAAAGCGTTTGTACGACTCTTTACGTACAACGAATTGAAAAAGTGTTTCCAACTCGTATGGTACCACACATATCGCAAGTACAACTACCGTTAGCTAAACCCACCTCATCCAGTTATTTACAAATTCACTTGGAGAACCTCCTGAAGAACAGTTATCATCAGAGCAAGACATACTTGGACTGTTAATCACTTTTTTTAGCATGTAGAGTCTAACTTTTTGCAACCAACAATACATTACATGTATTGAACCTCAGCCATGTTACAACAAAGCGATAGAGGTTGGTGGCCCATATAAGAATTGGGGTACATCTTGGCTCAAGTTAGCACCAAGCCATAATTTCTTATGATTATAGAAAAATGTTTAAGGTTGGATAGTTTTTTCTGTACATTTTTTTTAATCATTGCTTCTAATTTGATGGTGTAGTACCGGTGGAGGAGCCTTTATGTTATTATGTGTGGTGAATTACACTTTTTGAGGGTCTTTACGGGAATATAGCACAGTGGTATCAACTCTGGGAGGAGTGGTTAGATGTTAAATGGAAAAAAATGTTTGGAATAAATCAGATAAATGTTAAATATTGAAATTAATGCAAGTTTTGGTAAATTATATTTGTAAATAATTAATTTTGTCGGAACCATTAATAAAAGTAACCAAAATATTTCAGGATTAAAAATGGAAAAGACTTGAGAGAAAAGTTTAAGACACTTTTAGCGTCTTTTTGCAACATTCAACAAAATGTATGCAACCAAAAATATTATTTATTATTTATATTATTTATTTAGGATAATTTCCGGGTGTGTCGACTCCTATCAAAAGCTTCTGCAAGCGGGAGTATGAGTATGTAGAATGTACTGCCACAGTGCAGTGCTCAAAATGCCTCGGCCCACACAGTAAATACCACTAAATGCACCTCACAGCTACCGGAGAAATGCAAATCCTGCGGTCTGGAGGGACACAGTGCCTGGTCACTAAAATGCAAGAACCGCCCCACAGCTCCCATACGAGGAGTCCCTAACGTTAGAATAAATTTCTGACCAAATTTCTACAAAAACAAAAGAAACACGCATACATAAACCAATCACCATTCACGACCACATTATTGATACCTACCTCTCAAAAATTAACTCATCCAAACCACGCGATCGTCAAGAGCTTATCAATTCCCTCAAACGGAAATTTGTAGAAAACTACCAAATCGATACGATTGTCGCATTCTCTGGAAGTTACATGTACGTTATCATGATTGATCTCCAGGACACCTCTAAGCCATCTCCTACAGAACCTATCCACGGCTACCAATCCTCGATTCCGCAAGATCAACAATGACCAGCATAAAATTATTGTACGCAAACATTAACAGCTACCACCCGAAATCACACCTGATCGGAAACTACATCATTGAGAATCACATCCGTTGCGCAATGTTTGTGGAAACAA